TTGGAAATCTACATATGAAATTTGAAAGAAATCCATTCAGTACCTCTTAAGAAATGGCGATAACATCGAGATGCGGAAGCCCTATAGGAATCACCATGTTCGTCGGTCCGTCTGTCCATCCGGACGGCGGGACGTACGGACGTCAGCACTTTTGTTTTCCGATGATAGTCTCAGTTATGATTAGAGTAATGGTTAGAATGCCATCAAACCTTGCATGTGGCTAAAATGCCAGTTACCTCACTTTTTGTATGCATACACATTATGATGATCCCCATCAGCCGTGTCATATCAAAGACGTTTAGCTCCCCCCTTAACACATTAATACTTCAAGGAGCAAGGAACTGAACGGCCTGGAGTCAGTATAACAGTGTGGGTAGTGGGTCGGGTACATGAGTCTGCCATGTTTTTTTTTGTTGTTGAATAGTAAGCGATTGCATGACTGCATAAACTTTTGACTATATGGAATTTTTGCATCTCACACAAAGAGTATCAACGTTACATCAAAACAAAACAGCAAAGCTAAAAATAATTCAAGTGAACATGTTTTTATTCCAGATTTATCTCAAATTAACACATTGGCCTTCACAATGTAACAAAATATACATGTATATAGTTGTAACGAGCAAGTAACGTCATAATGACTTATATAAACATTCCAATCCCTTTCAAAGATCACTGAGTGTATAGAACAAGCGACTTTTGACAAAGACAGTTACAAACAACTATTCCTTTTGCACATATGCAAACACTATTTCAAATAGATTAAAGACAACTTCACTTTGTCAAAATTCATTTGACACAATTATCAGGTAATAACTTAAATGTTTCCAACAAGTCCTCTTTAAAAAAGAATTAAGTCTTTTTCATTCATTTACTATATAATTCCAGCAGTAATATGGAACACTGTAAAGGTAATTATCTCGGCAATATATAGCCCTTCAGGCATTAGAATGGATCTCAAGATATAGGTATCTGTAAACAGATATTTAACGTGACCCATGTACCCTTATACATCAAGTATCATATATTACGTACTCAGCACATTACTGCCTTATGAAAAAAAAAACAACTTGTGTTCAAAATTCATATACCGGATGTCATATACTGGCATTTGATTGGTTGTCGGCAAATCGAATTTCATAGTCTGATGGTTTGAATAAATTAAAAGAAACTTGTCTCAGAATGTGTACAGACGAATAAACACTTAATGACAGCAAACTCCCAATGATATTAAATGCTGGAAGATGTTTATACAATGTCTACAAATATACCAGATAAAGTCAACAATGTATGTAATAAGCGTAAATCAAACAACAGAGACAGAGAGTTTTAAAATGGTGTTGATAATAAAATTTTGTGACCAGAATGTAAAACAACTAGAGTGTCAAACTAATATCGTAATATAAATCAACAGTTTGTAATTATATATGGTTATATAACTATGATCTATTGTATAAATGCCATCGTTAAAATCGGAAAGTTATACCTATTAGTTATACGTGTGAAAAGCATGGATACTATATAATTCAGTATTGTCATGACATGTTAAAATAGAAATTATGCTCAACCATGAACTTTTTTTATGGCAAGAACACTCCTATCTCCATACGAGCCTCAATACATTCCACTTTCAACAAATGGTTTATCGATTTATGCGATTTTTTTCTTCTGTTAAGGTATCAGTGTATGAGGGGAATGGGGAGTGGGGGTGGGGGCTGGGGGCAAAGGATTCGTACTAAAAAGCCGACTTAAGAGTACACAGACAAAGAACGTTTCCTTCATTTTGCTCCATACTTGATATCGACGCAATTGTTTTTGGCGAACATCCATTGCGTAAAAAAAAAAAAAAAAAATCCAATGAAATTTTTTTTATTACAATGAGTGAAATTAAGAGATCAATACATATTATTGAACTTTTTCTATAAAGAATTTCATTTCCAAATGCGAAAATATAAAATCGATTTAAAACTTTTGATATGTCGTCCTCGATGTTAAAAGATAATTAAAGTAAACACGAAATGAATATCTTAAATAGGGCATTTTTATTCTGTAATCGATATGGCATACTTTTATAATACTCAGGCCATGTCGAAATACCTCGTAGTTTCGTGATTTAAGTAATCCTACCCTATGGATTACGGTGATTTACCTCTGAATTAGCAGGTGTTACTATTGATTGTATGTGCGTAATAATACCGCCGTCCCCGGCTGTATTAGAGACCCAATGTCTCTAACGAACAGTACTAGTGTATCGCTACTTCAGTCACTTTATAGTTGGCCTCCTATGATTGATCTACAATTTGGTATTTATACTCATACAGTTACGTCATGAGACAGGAAGAGGTGAACGGGATAATAGAATAAAATTTATCATTAAATCTTGTAAATTTGAATTCTACAAGCAGAAAATCTTCGATAACAAACCACATTGATATTTCAATATCCCATCAATTTTTTTTTCATTTATTACAAAGCTGAAAGTGCGAAATATTTATCCGACGAGAGCCCAAACTCGAAATCAATTCTACATACTTGTAGTACATAAAACAGAGTTTGATGGTTGACAAGTCAGACTTATCTCCTGATAATCGTCTTCTGATGGAATGTGTTCATAAATAACAATAAAAGTGAGTAATTTATAAATTATATACATGTATGTTATTACTTACTGAAGGAATGATAATGTACGTGCATGTTTTAATGTCACATGACATACACGAAGAAAATCTTACTTTCGGGTTAAGTGATTCCATATCTTACCAATTAGAAAATTAATCAGTTATGTCTCCTACATGGTGACCAAATATGGATATGTAGTACACTAGTACTTAAAAGAATCACGTTTACACATAGCGGTGAGATTGTCGGAACGCGCGGCAATGTTCATTTCCCACGTGCGACCAATCAAAAAGTCCAACACAAACCATAGAGCACGATGATGGATGAAGACGTCTAATGAAATCCTTCCATACTTCATTTTAAGAAAGCACAAATGTTCTTCACGCGCACTTGTGAATTAACGTGAAGGCGTAGCCACGTTCACAGATTGATTTGCCTGGGACCACGATTCTACTGGTAACATCTTCTTCGGCATATATACGTTTTTAGTCGCTTGGTGCATGTGCATGCGTTGTTCTGCTCCGTGCGGATTTACAGGGCCTACCTGTAATACACACGAATGGTACACAATTAGACTTTGCTAGATGCATAAAATTACAATTATTAAATTCTATAAGTGCTTTTCATACCTATAGAATAACATGACAATACATTTTTCTTCTGTGTCACTTCGTGAAATATTACAGTGAAAACATATCTGTTGTTATAAAATACAATTCAATCAAAAATCAAATGTAAAAAAATACTGATGCACCGGAAATGATAAGGAAAATAAAGTGCTTTAATGAAATAATAGACACAATACATACATATCTGTGTTTTCGTTTTATATAGATAATGGTGTGAAAATGATATTTCATACAAGAAATTGATTTTACATTTAAATTATTTAAACTTATTTGTCCATTAGGCTAGGAAATAAATACCACATGCAGATATCGTGCAAATGACAGGAGAATACTTCGAGTGACATTCTCGTGCAACAAAACATGCGAAACGTGCAAAGACATGCAAAAGTAGTTACCGTGCCCTGATATTACGACATAGATGGTAACTACAAATATACCATACTCTTACACATGCGTTTTACTTCTGGAAATTAATCAGAATCTATAACATGCTCTGTATTATGTATTGCTATGATGGGAACATTTCAATATTAGCAATGATATTTACATAGACAAGCGTTTACATTTGTCTAATTAATATCTATACATAAATTATGTTTGATAGCTACCTTGTCATTATGTATTAATGAATAAAAGATTGAACACGATTATTCATTGTACTATCTAGCTAGAATATAAGAAAATACCCAAACATATATAAGATAATCGTTTAGCAGCTACATTGATAATTATGTTTGTTTACATCGTCCTTATCAACACATACATTGTATACTTCTCCAGGGTTCGACAGAGGGCATTCAGACAGATGCCATATATGGTTAAGAAAAGCACCGCCCCCATCCCCCACCCCCACCCCCTAGAACACATGCCAAGACTGCCTAATATGGCGTTTTATCAGGACATATTCCTTTAATGTAGGGCACAAATAAATTCCATTCTTCGATATAACTATAATGACTAATAGGATAGTAATGATATCGTTTATTTTACAAATCGCCACCAAAAAGATGGCTTGGATGCAATAAGTTTAAACTGTATTCAAGGGTAACATAGCAGTTGGATACTATACGACGTCCTTGAATGTTTTGATATAAATTTTCACGACCACACTCATACAAATACGAAAGATAGTTGACTTAAGAATGTATCTGTGATTGATGACTGGAATGTTGCAACTCTTTTGGAATCAAAATATAAATGTATGCCTCTGTGGTACTAACACTTGTTTGTCCTTGCTTACAGACAGTAAAGTGAAACCATCGAAAACATATGTTAGGAACGAAGGTGAAGGCCGTGAGGGATAGTGATGATGCTAACACGTTGATACAGGGATCACTCAGACAACATGAAACAGAGAAAGTACAGAGAAAACCAGGATGTTTCTAGTCGTGGGCAACTCCGCGTGGGTATTGAACAATATAAAGAAACCAGTGGTCGTGTTGTCACACATCATAAAATTTCAACTTATCAAACAGAATCGCGAAATATTCACTTCGTAGTAACTTTTGGATTCGACTGTCAGAATTTGTTATATTTTCTTACTTAACTGAACATTATAATAATTTTGATGAGAGATAAAACACTTATTAGACATTCGCTAAGGTCAGTGTTAGGTTCAGCAATAACATTGGAGTAAATTAGGTTTGTGAGTCTTTAACAGGACACGGAAGTGGGGTTTAGTCAATTGTCTTGTTACTGCCATAGTTACATCACGTGTTCATAACCCGTGTTGTTACGAGAGTGTGCCATTCTTCACCTGGAAACCTTGACCTTAGGCAACACAATATTAAGAGTCGATTTTTCCCGCTTTGGTCTTTCCGGTATCCGCACCCAATCGGCGGCAGATGATTTTTCCCTATGTAGCGTTGAAACTACACTAGAAGACATTCTACTGACTGGTGGAAAGTATCCTTTTTGAGACCTGCCTCCTCTACTAGGAACAATAGAGTGTTCCCTTTGTGCTTGGTGGTAGGTTTGGTAAGTCTTTCTCAGATCAACATAGCTACTCTTTATCTTGGTATTGCCAGCCTTGCAACGAAAATCAGCCAATTTACAAACAATGACAGTAATTTTACCCAAACAACTACGATATTAGATGCCTTTTACCAAGGGAAATTGCTCAGTGTAAATATCTCATTTATGATTTGTATGCAATGCATATACGAAATAACTTCTGTCATCAATTTAGAAGGCCATACGAACTTGAGTCAAACTTTGCTATGAATGTATGCTATATTTCATGAAGGGATTGGTTCACAAACATACATTAATGATAACATTCTCGACAAGCGTGAACATACCTCCAATATACAATAGTATTAAGTCGATATTTACTCTCCCAACAAATCTCTACAAGTGAACAAATAGTTTTAAGGTAGAAGTGCTTCACCCGTGCCACTGTGAGGTCATTGTTAATTGAACAGAGTAAAAATCCGAAATCAAAATGGCTTGTGTGTTGAAATGGAATGGTTAGAAATATATACCAGTTCTCCCAATTCATTTTAATAACCCTTGAACCTTTACCAACATTTAGATCGAAGCAAATTACAATGTTGAATGCCAGCAACCTATAAAATGACCCTATATGACGCAAGAAATTACCCTCTTAAAACTTTAAACGTTAGTTGTGATACGTCTCCGATTATACAGATAATGTTAAATGAAATGATTGGGTAAATACTGTTCTTCCTTTCGTCCCAGTTCTAGAAACTCATACTACAGCAGTGATATTGAGATGATTGAAAGTTCTGTTCTAGAAGAATCACACCATGATAAAGATAAGTGAAAGCTATAATGAAAGATGAAACAGGTTTCTTGTTCTATGGCAAGTTCTATGGGGGTTTCATTTACAGAAAACACCATTTGTCCTAGCTGACTAAACATCTACAGGCTGTGGGATACTCTACCGTTGGTATGCTTGCTTTTCTGTATCTGATAACACCGAGATTGCAAATGTTTTAGGTATGCATTAAGACGATTTGTCAACTCAAGGTGATTTGAAATTAATACACAATTGATAATAGCTGTTAATATGTTTTTTCTTACATGAAGTTTACATAAGTCGTATTGAATGTGTACAGATAACGGTGACAACGTGAAATAGAGTGTATATAACGTTATCGCACTTAAATATAGTCACATCCAGCTTTATCTGAATCTCTCACCTGTAATGAAAATAAAGGGAACTGAAATAGCTTGGGAAACACAATGTCTTTTGGGAGTGGACACTCTATCGTATTACCTCATAGGACGAGACGTGCATTCTTTAGAGGTTTTATAAGATACCAACACATTGGCATGCACTTGTGCTGACGACATGCAGGTAAGTTTGAATATGATATAAAACATGCTGTGCATTTTATGTATCATAATAATTTGTGTAATCATTATGCTATATGAATATTGATAGATATGTGCATTTCTTTTCAAACCAATCTATAATATCATAACCAATATATTTATTATTATGATTGCTTTTTACAATTTACATGATTGTATATAGAAATTTTGAAATATCATGCAAAGCTTCGTTTTGTTATTTGCGTAAAACTTCCATTGTGTACCAACTAAATCTAAAATGATGGTGAGAGTAGGGTTCACATATAGATACCGTCGTCTAGTGATCGTAATCATAGTCACTAACGGACGACACCTCCGTGATGGGGGTCATTACATGGATGGGCGGTAACGCCCCAAACCTCTGGAGGGCATACTCCTTTTGACGCTCAATCTGTGTATTGGGAGTGAGAAGATGACAAGGAATATCGGCGGTTAACTAAATGTTTCATTATATGTGTTGTCTTCATATTCAGTATCACCCAGATATGGATGGGGGTAAAAGGTGGCCCTAAGCATGTAGTAGAAGTGTCCAGGAAACTAATAACGAATCACTTTTGAAATAAATGGACGTGCAATGTGGCATAAAAATGAAATTATACTTAAACATATATACAAGTGTAGAACTGATATAGACATTCATTTTGACAATATAATCACAGGTTAATATATACAATATGCACGATGCTGAAAGAGTACAAGGTATGATGCCACCATATTTATATACAAGACAATCAGATTTAAACAGAACATTAGAAGACCTGACAAGTTTAATGCAAAGAAGACTAGTACTGTGCTCTGTCATCGAGCATGCAAATGATAGTAAAACACATGAGCATTAGTGCCTGCTTTACCCAGAATTCTCTGTAAAGGAAGACAATCATGGTTAAATGTTAAATATAGATATTGTCTCACTCTTCTCAAATTCGTTAAATGCATCACAAGAACAAATCACGACATTATATCTATATAATCCTGTTAAAACATTAGTAAAACGATTGGTTGATGTAGTAGAGAGGCCATGTGGTCAGTCGGAGGGAACATATTTTATTTGTATTATATATCAATACAGTTGTATCTGTTATTGTTTATCTTGATCAATGGATTTTCATGAGTTATTATTTGTTTAAATCAACAATAAAATTACATCAGTTATTGTTTGTTTGGATCAATGAATTTGCATCAGTTATCGTTTGTTTGGATCAATGAATTTGCATCAGTTATTGTTTGTTTGGATCAATGAATTTGCATCAGTTATTGTTTGTTTTGATCAATGAATTTGCATCAGTTATTGTTTGTTTGGATCAATGAATTTGCATAAGTCATTGCATCATTTATTGTTTGTTTTGACAAATAAAAACATTTGGAACAAAAATTCCAGTTTTGCACTGTTTTTCAAATTTCCTTAAAGAGATAAGATACATTTATGTATTACAAATTTGTGCAAGAGACCTGGAGATAACTCAATTTACTTGTATTTCTGTCATAAAACCTTAACAATGACGACAACAAAAAAAGACCACATGGCATCCTGGATGGGTGAAAAGAATTCGTGATGAACATGACGTGATGAGAACCAGGTGTAAAAAGAACATTACTTACCTGGCTCCACCTATATTCTTCATCAAACTGAGCTAGCTGCTTTTTCAAAACTATCCAATCAGATGCCTGTCGCGTCAAACTTCGGGACAGCATGGTATGCTGAAATATTGAGAACATCTCAAACAAATGAACCAAGACATATAAAACGTATGAATATGTTGAATACAAATTTGCAAATCCCAAACCTGAAATGGGTATTGAAATGAAATGTGTACAACATTTTAAACCTATCATTGACTTTAAAACGACATGTGCATTTTTCTGACAAACAAATATAAGTACAAATTATGTACATCTGGTTCTTCATAAAAATCAAATATTTATATTTGTTTGTAAATCATGACGGTATTATCTTTGTATCCATAATATTTGACAGGAACTGGTTGTATATTACCAATACATTCGAAATCAATGATTCTAGTATTTCTACTAGCTATGTATTATGCCGTTTAAAATTCAGGTTAAAGACTTAATACATGTTCACATTTTATCTAATTGAATCAATCATTTCTATCAAAACTAAGTACTTTCCTTCATTTAAAAAGTTTATCAGCACACATGTGATACTTACTTGTGTTTTTTCTCTATCCAATCGTTTATGTAGCTGTTTTCTGTTGGCTTCACTAGTCTCTAACCGAGTCTGGAAATATAGCGAATGAAAAGATGCCTGTCATGTACTGTTCTAACAAATATATGGACAGCTGCATAATAGGCACTAAACTTCAGAATATTGTCTGTAATGTTAACAAGGAATAATTGATGCATTGTTCTTTATGAGATTTTTTTTATTTATTTCTCTAGGCTTTCCTGCTCAATCGTTTGAATATTGCCATGGAACTTACTTAAATGGGTTGCTTATTTCGAAACATTCCAATGAATGACTTAAAGAAAATTTGTTTTCGTTCTTTTGTGAAACTTTTCTCTGTTCTATCTATTAATGTAAAGACACCACGGAACCCCACCATTATAGTACAGATCGTAAGCAGTACTTACCAGAAGTCCATCTTTGTCAGACATAGCGTGTTTAGCTTTCTTTATCAATGTCATATTGTCCTGTTTAAGACGATGTATCTCTCGTTTTAATACATCATTCTCCTCTAGTAACACCTAAACAAAACCAAAATGATAGCATTAGGCACTACGTGATAAGGAAAAATGAAGTGGTCTTGTGCTTAAAGGTATCACGTTACAATTCACATAGTACAGAGTACTACAGATCAACAACACAGACAAATACTAGTATGATATACATGTATAAAGAAATTTATTACTACATTACCATATTTGGTAGGACCACTATAATTAAAATTTTTGCAGTTTAACAACATCAAAAAGCTTGATGCAAAAGTAATTTATTTTCCGGGGATAATTTCCGTTTTTTCATCCTTAAAAATAACGAAAAAATAAGAACACATTAAAAGTTAAAGTATGTAGTAAGATATGTAATATACTAAAAACTGATCGACAGAAGTTGATGAGGGGTTGTCAGCGATGACAGCATGAGCATAATTTTCATTACATCAACACGCACAGGAAAAATGCGCTTAAGAAGATATCATATGAACTTTCCATTGTGATATCTATTTAGGTCAATATTTTAGAATTCAAAGTGATAACGAAGATTTGCCACAAATAATATATGAAAACCGAAATCAAGAAATAAGAAAATGTTGATCTTTAAGATCTATTAAATGTTAAAATGTACAAAAAGTGGGTGAGTATCCAAGAGATAAAATTAACCCAGAATCAACAGAATTAGTGACGTATTACCTCGTTTTTGCGGATAATGTCGTTAACCCTTTGACCTGATCCCAGGAAGGAATATGAGGACGTGTTTTGTACTTTCGGCGTGCCCCTTCCATCAGATTCCATTGATATGGGCGTAACACTTGGGCCCTCATGTCCACCGCCCATCTTCCTCTTTTCCATCTCGTATAACTGCTGATATTTTTTCGCTATTTGTTGGGATTTTGTAAGTTCTGATTGCATATCTTTTAATTTTGTTTCGGCTGTAAAAGTAAAAAAACACACAAATGTAAACATTATGCGGAAATGAATTACAAAATAAACGGGTGAAAAATTGTTATTAATAAATTCATATATGCATATCGAATATGGTTGGAACTGTGTTAAATTCTAAATAACGTTTACTTCTGCTGGTTGTACAAAAGTTGTTTGCAACTTTTAACACAAACATAGAGTAGAGACAGTATAGTCAAATAAGGAATTCATTCATCAGTCTTATACATTACTTACAATCTTTGGCCTTCTTTTCAAACATCTTCATGAGACGAAGTGAATTTGTTTTTGATAGTGATGCATCTTCTGCCATCTTCTTGTTTTGTTGGTTTTGACTTTTAGCTTCCGACATTTTTTCGTGTAAGGATATTTCTGATTTCAATCTCTGATTTTGCGATTCAACGTTTTTCATCAATTGTGCTTTGAGTTCGTACGTCAGCTCTTGTTCCTCTGGAGAAAGTGGCGGTCGCCTGAAACACAGTCAATCATTATAACATTTATAAAGGGAAAGGAATCTGTCATTTGTCCTACGGCAGTGTTTTCGTGAAAGGGGATCGAACTCGTGTCAATATTTGCAGGCACGATGAAATGGATATTGTCATATACTGTGTAAGTATAAACAGTCAACGTCATAGTTTTAGGTAGAACCACAGGTGCCAATGTCGATAATCTATACTTACTTCCGGACACTTCCATCCTCTCGCCGACCTAGATTTTTTCGTACTTCGTGGAACATTTCTTCCATACCCTTGGCCACCTGCATAAAATATTCGATCGTTTAGATATTAATTTCATAAACAGAAGAAAAGATTATTTATTTCTGAATATATCAGCAGGAAACACAAATGTTTATCTGTATTTCATGGCATGACTGTCATGGCAACCGATGTTACATTGCCTTGTTCTGACTGCTTTCCTTATATATATTTTTCAATAAATAAAGAGAAACGAACTCGAGAAGAGCATTACAATAATGAAATAACATTTTTTATTACACATCAGTAATATGACCTAGCATTGCTGAAGGTTGGCATGGTTTCCATTGTGACGCCATACCTTCATGGCGTCATATGCATTGTGACGTCACAATAGAGAAATATCGCAAATTCAGATATCGTATCATTCTAATAAACTGTTGTTTTTACTCATATTTGCAAAAGTCAGTTATGTGATAATGAAAATGTTAAATTCACTTCCATTTCATCAAAGATTTTTAAACCTCATCACAAATTTTTCATTTTCCCTCACCAGTGGCTCGGTAAAATGATTTTCTTACTCGTTACATAATATCATATCAGTTGAAACTCATGTAACAGTATCTACTTACTTAATCATAGAATTGTATAAGAATTAAAACACCAAAAATCATACAGGTGATATTTGTGTACCACTCACGTCATCGTACATGCCGATAGCCTCTTTAAGCTGATCAAATAGGCTCTCCATAATTTGCTTTGCATCTTTTTCCTTCTTAGCTGCTTCCAGTCGCTTAAAATTCCCCCTGACATCTTGCTGCTTCGCCTCCAGGAGATCGAATTCCTCCTCCAATTTCTGCAGGATCACAATTTAGTAGAAATACAATGTTACAATATCAGGTAATTTCACAAACATCGAAATGCCACTTACACTGTTGAAGTTGAAGAAAGCGAATAGATGTACATGTTTACACGCTGTTACCAATCTACAATGCCAAATGTTTGCATAAGTGAAATTTGATAAGACTTCCATTTTAAAGTTGAAACAGATTAATACAAATTTAACAACTACAATAACTGTGAGTAGTTTACACAAAATCGGATCTAAGCGTCGATGAAATCGCGATCAGAAAAGAACATAGGAAACAACAGTCCAGATATATTTATTAACCAAAAACGAAAACATACGAAAGATTGGGCCAGAACATTCCCGGTACCTATCAACAAGAGGCAAAAAACATCAATCAATTTGAAGAGATATTATTATAAGTAAATTTAAGTTAAAATATTAAATTTTTTCACTAAACATGCATTCGAATAGACACCCATATAATGTAATATTGACCATCGGAAAAAAACACGCTCTATGAGACTGAACACTGGAAGGACTCGCTCAGTGATCCTGAACAATGGAAAGACACACCCCATGATAATGAAAAATGAAAAGACATTATGATATCAAACATTGTAAAGACGCACTCTATGATACTGCATATAGGAAAGACACGTTATATGAATCTGCAGGATCGAAATGTACGTAAGGATACTGAACACTGGAAAGACACATTCTATTATACTGAACAATCGACAGACACAATCTATGATACTGAACATCCGACAGACACAATCTATGATATTGAACACTTAAAAGACACCCTATGATATTGAACATTTGACAGACACAATCTATGATATTGAACACTTGAAAGACACCCTATGATATTGAACATGCGACAGACACAATCTATGATATTGAACACTTGACATACACACGCTAGGATAATTAACATTTGACAGACACACGCTAGGGTCATGCACGTTCGACATACACAATCTATGATATTGAACACTTGAAAGACACCCTATGATATTGAATATCCGACAGACATAATCTATGATATTGAACACTTGAAAGACACCCTATGATATTGAACATTCGACAGACACACGTTATGATATTATCAACAACTCTACATCTATTCTGAAACACACACATACTAACTACAGTGAGAACTGCTATACATTCACACAGGGTCGCTGAAACCAGCGTGAATAATGTCTTCCCACAGGAATACAGAATAATTCTAAATTTATTGATATTAATGAAACATGAATGACAGCCTGTGAGGTATAATAAATTGTTATTTCTTCGATCAAAAATAAAACACAGTCTTCTCAGTAAAAGCATCAATACCTATTAACCTTAAGACCCAATGGATTAAATCTTAATTACAAAGCGTGGTTTGTCGACGTGAACCCTTTCTGTGTTGAGTATTGAATTAATCTTATTTAATTAGTTATTTTATGAAAGAGACGTTGCGAACTACTGAGTACATGTAATGTGTAGAAAGATTGATGGTTTGTATACAACATCGTGAACCAATAATCATAAACCCAAGCCAACATCACGAAATGTCATAAACATACACGACACCAATACACGTTTCTTCAAACTATTCGTCTCGATCATTCTTTGTGCATATTTTTAATTAAAAGAAATGAAAAACAGCGAAAACGAAAATTTTTGAAATAATATTGTGTAATTACTCTAGACCACGATTAACTTTGTCCGTCGGCTTGTTTAGGATTGATTGTATTACTGACTGGCAAAGTTTTGTCGCAGCTTAATCGGTTAGATGACATTATCTAAGATTCCGAACGACAAGATGTGAGTGTTTTAAAACCACCCTTTGACACATTAAAATCTGTCTTTTGCATCACGAAAGATATATCCGATGACTTAACGTATGATGATACATTTAGTTTATGTATCTATTTCAATTTTTCACAAAACTTCTTGAAGCGTTTCATGGCAAAGATGATGGAAAACAAACGTAGCGAAAACAAAACCAGATGAACTTTCTATTATCTATGCCGGACGTGACTATCTGAAAACAATCGTTATTGATTCTTACTTGTAAAATCTCTGACAAAATCCGTTCTATCACAAGCCACATGCACCTAACAGAATTTCAATCGCCAAACATATGATAATTGACGGGTACGCAATACCTCGTTTCTTTATGAGTAATAACTTATATTAATCAGCACACAACCGCTAGAAAAGCGTGGATATCATTTGTCCCTATCATAAAGATTTTTACATTCACACAGGGATCTGAGAACGTAACATAACGTGTATCACTGGTCCTATACCCGACATGTATATTGCATTTTTAGACGTTCGTGGAGGTATCGAATTCGATAAAAAGATATTTTACCGCACTGCCTTCCCCATTAACATGTTATAAAAAGGTCGGGATTGGTCTGAATAAACATGTAACACGTTCTTATATCCTCGTGTTTATGATATTACGTGACATACAAATGTGTGCTATATTTTTTATAAGTGTATCTAATACAATTTCACTAATAATACACGTACATTGATACAGATTCACATATATTACTGTGAGTGAAGCTACTGCTACTATACTGTACAAATGTATCAACCACTACAATTAATGTGTTCGTACAGTGTGCACATGCACAATGCTCTAAATGTTTGACAGGCAGCAAACATTGATTACCGAGAGTATTTCTCCAACGTCATCAAAATCCTCAACTTCCGAGTCGGACTGCATGTTTGTGAAACAATAGAGACGGACATACAGCTCTATACATACAAACCAACCTAGCATCGAGCATAAATATCAGTTTTAAACAAGGTGTTTGGCAGTCCACCTTATGTCTCTTATAAACAGAAATGACAAGCATACAAATTTTAAATATATTCATTAGAAACACCCAGTGCTAAATCACTATTTACTAAATCTTCCCAAACCATCAAAGTGATTGATACCCGATAATATATTGACCATTTTTCTTCTAAATTATTCTAAGAGATATGGCTTACCATTTTTCAAATTTTCAAATTCTTTAAATAATTATTTAATTTTAGACAATGACCACATCATGATTGCACCTGTTATACATCAATTGCCTATTTATTTATAGATTAAGGGCTGATTTTAAGGTGCTGCTTTTAACTAATTGCTACTTAAATTTCCATTTTATTGTAAATCTTTTATTAATTCCGAACAATTAAGATTTTGTTGTCACTATTTAAAAACCAATTACGTGAAAATTATTCGGGAATTTTAACATCTACACAGTCATTCTAGATTGATCGCGCTAGGAATATTCCTTGAAAGTCCTGTGTTTTGTAGACCTTCAATTTAACATTGATTCATTTTATTCATAAGTAGCATTACACGCTTATCAATTAATAATATTATGTTCAAATTAACAGGGAAATACTGACCGTATTTATTTATTTATTTATTTATTTATTTATTTATCTATACGTGTTTGACAGTCTGCTTATGATGGGCCGTTCACCGGGGAAAATCGAAAATTAATAGATGCTAAAATTGCAAAGATCATTAAACATAAAAAACGTAATATAAAATATTGATTCACAAATTTGCAACATTTTCAAAGTAAGAAACATAACTCAACGTAATCTGTTGTTAACGCATGAAACAGATTGTAATCGATAATAGTTTTATTTAGTATATTAAGTTATCGGTTCTGAATCTGGGTCTATTACCACTACTACAAAGAATCTACAGTACACGTCAGCTTTGATTAGGGTATTCAGGTCATATACCCTTGTCAAAATAGTCTTTTCCTGACGAACTCTCATTTAAGTGGTCGGATTAAATTAAATCCTCATAGACATTGAATCAAATCGATAGATTTACAATACTGATTTAAATGTTGAACTTATTCGTCAAGTTTTCAATTTATTTTGACAACTACAAAGGTGATTTAAATATCAGTCTTAAATATCCATTGTTTTGAGTTTAATACTTTATAAATACTTCCATAACCCTGATCGACAATACAGAACTGTACTGTTATATACCACCAAATACACAAAGCGGCTATTCCAGAGTCAACCGACCGCGTAAACAGGCTCCGCTTGATAGTAGAAAACAATGATACAGTTGTTACGCCTTCGAAGTAACACCCTTTCCTAATAGACCCCTGCCCGTCAAACTACACTATTGGTGTGACACGGTTATTACAAATGTAGAAAATTACCCATTATTCGTTTAAAGAATGTCCATTTTCTTTTGTTCAGACCTAATTTGTCCTTCAGGTGGTATTTTGATCATAGGTTTTAGTACTGTGAAACTTTTATTTTTTTCACTATTTCAGAGTGGAGCTCAGACTAATTTGAAATTTACATCGACGACAGATTCTTTTATGTTGTCTTATAAAAACAAAAAAGTTTTTTCTTCATACATATACGAATGTGGTATATAAGCTCAACGTGATGTGTAAAGAACACAATGATTACGTATGATTTCGACTTAAATCAAAAAGTACAAGAGCCCCTTGTATTACCCCGGGTTGTGTTAAATCTACACAGGCTATTGTACAATACACACTACAGCATTGTCAGTACCAACAACAAATTGCCATATCACTCCTTTTTGTGGTATAAAATATGTATGACACGAAAGTTTAATCACTGTTGTTATGACACCTAACTAACTTTCATTCCTGACAAATAAATCGAAATCATGATTGAAATATGATAAAAGGACGATCACATTCTTTGTGAAAGGGGAACAACTTAACGATCATTTTAATTTATTTCATGACTTATATTTTATGGTTGCAATATTTTATATATTTACTTAAGATGTATAAGCCAAGCCTCCTCGTTTAGATGAATTACGTTTCCCGTGGATCTGGTATGATATATAGTAAATTCTTTCAGCCCCTGTATATTGAAACCATGGGCTTATTGTCCACAGCGATAACTAAACAATGCAGTTAGTAGTTAATCAATAGGAATCATTGCAGAAACACTCCAAGTTTCAACAGTAAATAGATAACACGAGTACGCGTGGTGTAGCACCACAATGCAAGTACCCAGTAATGTTGTCCTTTATTGATCCCAGATAATTATCACATTCCGGGTAATCTATACCTTTCAGTTTAGTTCCTGTCAAAGACAAATGTACAATTTGTGCCTATAACGCTATATGTTGATATATATGTTACAGTAAAAATTTTTATTTCATAATGTTTGCAAGTTGTTTATGGTTTTAACATTGTATTAGAAATACACATGAATTTTAACCACACTATAACACCTCTTTCTAAGCACCACAGACTTAATATATATCACATTCCGTGTTAGTACTGCCATTAGATCAGCTATGTATCACAAACGTGTTAACATATATCTGTGTACACAGGAGTTTAAATTCACTCCACTCCATTGATTTAAAACATACCGAGTTTTAAAGTAGCATATATGTATTTTCACTCTTGACAATATATAAGCTTCATCGTATTACTGAGCTAGACATCATTATCTCACTCACCTGCATGTTTTCCTTGGACGTCGACATGTTGGTGTTCAACGTCCTCTCACACCGAGGTAAATAATTAATAGATTACTAAAGACCATGCATCAGCTCAACTGCACTTTGTTGACACTGTCGGGAAGGGCAACAGTTAGGTAGATAGCGACTTCCGGGAAGGGACATAACCACAACATATGCTATCGATCACTATTAAAAGAAACAACACACAGCAAGCCTTTAAGCTTCATACTTTCACTTTCAAGCTCAAATTTTATGTTGTTTTACCATTACTTTTATTTATTGTTTTCGGTTTGAACTGGGTATAAAGGCCATATACCCTTTTCGATGAATCACCAAGGTATCTAATAAAAACTCGTTTTGGGGTCACTTGTTTTAGATATATTCGTTACAATTAAAATAATGAAAAAAATATATATAAAAAATCCTTTGTTTTCACTCTATTTACCAAACGGTGAAATGAACGAAATTTCCGTCGTATTCAATAATCACGACGACACGTCGTTTGAATTCACTAACAAGGAATTATATCGCAACTGAGATTTGCATGTTTTAATTTTTTTGGATGTAATGTAGGCAAACTAAACATAGCGGGTCAGAAATTCAGAGACTCTGTTATTTGGAACCTGTCATGCCGTAATTAAAAATTTTAAAAAGTGATCAAATCATGGGTGTCTAAATAGCTACTTCGGAATGTAGAAAAACCTTGAATATGTATAAGTTAATCCTTATTTATCAAAATCGAATTTGAGAGAAACATTTTTTTTCTTCTTTTTATTTCTTTTTCATTACTCTGTGTAATACGGTAATAAATCCAAACTTCAAAAAAATGGTTTCTATAATATCATCTTAATTTCATTTTATTGAATTCATACAATTAATATAATTACAGCTTATATATTAAGCGTTACCAATTGCAATGATTTAATTAGACATTTTATATATTAATTGATAGGAAATCATCTCTGGTTACAGAATAAACAAAAATGAAAATATACGTAAACACATTCAACTCAGACCGAATATTCAATATAAATCAACTATTTTATTAAGCATATTTTATTGAACAATTTCCATGGGATTGGGCACAAGATTTTTTTCCCTGATATCAAGTACACGGAGAGACACAGACACAGAGAGAGACAGAGACACAGACACAGAGAGAGACAGAGAGAGACTGACAGAGAGACACATAGAGAGAAAGACAGAGACAGAGAGAGAGACAGAGAGAGAGACAGAGAGACAGAGAGAGACAGAGAATGAGAGACAGAGAGTCATATATGCCACTTATGTTTTTAACTGTAAATCAGTTTCTCCTAAACCGGACAACACTTCATATAGAAAGAAGCACCAAAATAATACAGAAAACAACCTAAGGAAAGTAATTCAGGATATGGAACAACAGCGGTAAGTGGACATTGAGGAATTAGACAAACAAACAAAAACAGGAATTAGAAACTATTAGGTTAGAGAAGATTAAAGGTAGCATAGTAAGATATCGTGCAAGATGGCAGGAAGAAGGGGGAAAACCAACAAGATATGTTTTCAGTTTAGAAAATAGGAACTACACATCTAAAATTATTCCAAAGTTTATATACATCCAACGCACATTACAGAGTACAGTACATAGTTTATTTACCACTTATGCAAACAATACAGATAATTTTGGCATGTTAGGGGCTACTCACTCTACACTACAATCTTAGTATATAAATTAAAAATTTTAATAAAACTGAAGTGTTGAAGTGTTGAATTCGGTGAGCTAACACCACCGTGATGGGCTCCGTCATTTTCATGCTCACTTCGTCTGTTTTTGAGTTTGCAGAGACCCGAGATTTGGTAACATCGTTCCTTTCGCTTCTAAGGTCGTCTGTATGTCTTCATTTTTTTTTTACAAAAACTTTGGAATAATTAACTTTGATTGTATGTTTGATTTTACAACACGCGAGAGTGTGGTCTGTCGGGTGTGACGGGCAATCGGGAACCCTCGGCACTTTCCGCAAGCGAGAAAACACCTCGGGAGTACAATCGGGAACCCTCGGCACTTTCCGCAAGCGAGAAAACACCTCGGGAGTATTAGGCGGAGTAATACAGCCAAATTTTGTCCAAAAAGGCCTTCCGGTGGAAGGATCAACAAGTTAGTCGCCGGTTTTCATTTTCCAATATGGCTGACTTTTTTACTTGTATAGAGTTTGCAAAAACGCATCTTAATTTCAAGCACGAGTTGAAGGAAAAACAGGTACAGACGCTCCAGAATCTCTATGAGGGACGTGATGTTATAAGTGTGCTTCCTACTGGTTACGGAAAAAGTATTATTTTTCAGTTATTGCCATGGTTGTTCCAGCGAAAATATGACTCCTCTACACCATGCATAGTATTAGTCATTTGCCCCTTAAACAGTATCATGGAGGACCAAGTGATGGGGTTAAGGGAAAGGGGGATATCAGCGTGTTATATCTTTGGATCCGTTGGCAAGACATTTATGACGAAGGCTGGGTTTGACTATGACAGTTCCGAGGACGAAGACGAATCAGCATGGACAATAAAAGACGTCTCATTCAAAGACATATCCGACGGGAAATATAATATAATATATGCCCACCCAGAATCTGCCCTCTGCAAGAAGATGTACTCTGTCTTCAGATCAGCCCTATATCAAACCAAGATATGTTGTGTAGTTATAGATGAAGTCCACATGGTCTCAGAATGGTAGGTGTCATTATTAGACGAACACTGTGATCATCAAATTGTTTTCAAGGGTCATTTTCCAAATGTTTTCCCAAGTCAGTGAGTCATACAATGTAAAATTAACTATTTCTAGAAATTCTATGGGTCCTTTCAACTTTTTATGAGTACAGGATTCGGAATGCACATGTAGATCTATCACTGATATTAGTTAAGCCTTGCCAACTGGAGGTCTACTGATAATATGTAAACATAACTTTAATTTATACTATATTATTGATTTCCATAAAAAATAACAAAGTTCATATATCTTATACCAAAATGAAGCTAAGGTCATTCCCTTTCCGGCGATTTATTCGTGATATTAATGTTGTGATTAGAACAGCTAGAAGTTTTGTAACCCTAGTGAATACTAGCTGCAAATATACCTCTCGGCTAGAAAGAACTTCTCTTAGGCTGGATTGGTTGAGCGTCAGACTAGTAAGGCAGTTGTCCCGGGTTCAATACCCAGCGGAGGCAGTAAAATAGTACTTGTTTAATTTCATTAGCTCTGCTACAGTTATTGATTCACCTGTACCTTTTTCTCCCTATAACATTACTTATCCCAAGCCCTTCAGACCTTCAATCAGCATGTCCTAATTCTATTGTTAGAAACAAAGTGATGTCACTGTGAAAAGTCTTATCAAACAGCTCCAGTGCACAAATCTATCTACCAGGTCAGGATAAAGAAACCACAACTTTGGTAGACTACATAAACTAGCTTATATAATTATCTTATATATGCCAGTTTCAGTATCGATTTGTTACTTGAAAAGGGCAAAAATAGAAACATTTGATTTTGAATTCCCCCATGAATAGATAAATACTGTTTTGATATGTAATTTATTAAAAGTAATAAGACCTTGCACAGTTTAATCTATTGGAACACATCAGTTTCATAGGTACATGACCTGTATCTCCCCCCAACCCCCCCGATTTTACCCCATATAATTATCCCCACGTTTGCAGGGAATATTAAATTTAGCTCCGTCTGCTGAATATGTTTTTCCAGGCTATAACTTCCAAACCATTCAACTCAACTCAAGAGATCTATGTCTATGTACTTTTGTGGATTTGTATGGAGACAAAGAGATTTCTGAAAAAACAACACTATATAATTTTGCAGTGTGATATTAGTTTTATCAAAAGATTGATATTAATGAAGTGAAGATTACTTTTTTTTGCTAAATTGGCATAAAATCCAATGCATAATTTGACATAACATAAATGTTTATGATATATACAATGCATCATGATCACTATCCCCATATATAAGAAAAGCTTTTGTCTTTTATTTGCATTTTGGTCTTTGACTTCTATAGGTTGCGTATTAATAGATTACTAAGTTTACTAAAAAGTTTACTACGATACATGCTTATGGTATTTATCTGTAAAACAATGATACATATATAATACTAATGCAATCACACTCACCATCAAGTAGTACATCGAATATCATTCTTCCATTAAAAAAATATGAACAATTTACTAAATCATTATGACACAGTTGTCAAGGCTTTCAAAATAAAACATATGTATTCTTCAAACAAACAATTTGTGAGGTTCATTAGATTTGACCTTTCAATTTCACAGTAATAACCAATTTTTGCCAGAATCACATATTCCATTGACCATTCCTGATGTTGTTAATTTGTAACTTTTTATGTCTTGGACATATTTTCTGTGTAGATTGTCTTTAAAATAGAACAATTGTATCAATTTTGAAACCATGACTGTTTTGGTTTGACCATGCCATTGGTCATCAGGTTCGAGTCCTGAGAGTCATTCTTTCTGGTCCATTTGTTCTGTTTTTCAAAAAAACTGAATTCAACTGTAATCTTAATCAGTAATTATTTCAAACCTTTTTCAAAGAAACATATGGGTATGAGTAAGGTTGAAACCCTCATTCTCAGTAGAATATGTATTTACATGATTCTTAATGTTAATTCCAAATTGCTTAAGAAATTATTTTCATTTGACAATATCAAATAAATGTATTGTTTATATTTCAGTTTTTGTAAAATATATATCTCTGTTCCACAAAAAATATATATTTAATCTAGATTGATTGCATACATTTACAGGGGAGAAGAGTTCAGACCAAAGTTTAAGAAGTTAGGAGATTTGACCTGCCTCTTTGACAACTGTGCACATCTTGCTGTTACTGCTACATCTTCCCCATCTTCTATTCTTGATCTCTCAAAGACACTCCAGTACAAAAACCATGTGATTGTGACTGTGAATCCTGACAGACCAAACATTTATATAGACAAAAAACCCCGCCTTCCAAACTCTAACAAGACCGACAAATACGATGAACTAATCGACCCTTTGGCACAGGAACTGAAAATCAAGCTTCGAGACTTCCCTGTTACTGTTTTGTATGTAGAAAGTTTAGATGCACTTGGCTATTATTATCAGTATCTAAATTATACTTTGAAAGAACTTCAGTATCATCCAACCTCTGACAAGACACCAGAAGCTAGAATTTTCGCACAGTACCATACAGACTATACACAAAATATGAAAAAACACATCTTACAAGAACTTCGGAAAGACAATCCACATGTGCGTCTTGTTCTGGCCACAGTTGCTTTAGGTATGGGTTTAAATGCCCCAGGTATTACTCGGATAATTCATGCTAGGCCTCCAACAACATTAGAAAAATACTTACAGGAGATAGGAAGGGCTGGGAGGACAGGACAAAAATCTACAGCTATTTTGCATTACAACAAAAGTGACATAGCTAAAAATAGAAAAGGGCTCTCTCCAGAAATGGCAAAGTTTTGCAATGTTAATGATGGATGTTTGCGACTTGAACTTGTCAAATACTTTGGTTTCCAAACAACAGTGTTTGATGGCCCACTTGAAGAATGCTGTTCAAACTGCCGTCAGTCACTAGTGAATGCTGTTGACAATGTGCATCTCTAAAAAATTAATCTAGAATTCATATGTAACCATGCTTGGAACACTCTACATAAGCCTTTTTCTTGTAGATCAGTTGATGAAATAGTATGAAAGTTTCGGAAAATATTTTAATAATGTCCAACCAAACAACACATCTCTTAGGCTGTTCTATTGGTAATTATCATTAATTTCTTATTCAGGCAATATGTATCTTCAGATAATTAACTTTCTATATGAAATGTAAGCAATGCTCTATGTGCAAATCTAGGTTGCAATTACATGTAACTCTAATGAAGTATGGGAATAATTATTTGTCACAAACATCAAATTTCAGTGGTTGTGATCAACATAGTAACTACACATAATGGCTCACAGCTATAATTCACATCAGGAATAACTGAGATATTTATTGATATTGTGAAGAATAGCCTAAAATATCTGTTTTACCATTACTTTCGTAGATACATGTATGATGATGCTACATGAAATAAGATTCTATCCCAATGTGAATTAAAGTGAATTTCTCTTCTATTTTCTTGTTTGAAAAATTGATTTAAATTTTACAACATGGATAAAATTTATACAATTTGACAAATTATGTAGAGTTATATTGTATGGTAAGTTAATAACATACATTATTAATTGACTAATTTGACTCATAACAGCCAGCCTAACATTCGGAAAACTATCTTAGCCTTTGAAACACTCAATAGATGAAGTAACCATCCCACTACAGCTGTATCAACCATCACACTATAGCTGTATCAACCATCACACTATAGCTGTATCAACCATCACACTATAGCTGTATCAACCATCACACTATAGCTGAATCAACCATCACACTATAGCTTTATCAACCATCACACTATAGCTTTATCAACCATCACACTATAGCTGTATCAACCATCACACTATAGCTTTATCAACCATCACACTATAGCTTTATCAACCATCACACTATAGCTTTATCAACCATCACACTATAGCTGTATCAACCATCACACTACATCTGTATTAACCATCACACTACATCTGTATTAACATCACACTACAGCTGTATTAACCATCACACTACAGCTGTATTAACCATCACACTATAGCTGTATTAACCATCACACTATAACTGTATCAGCCATCACACTATAGCTGTATTAACCATCACACTACATTTGTATTAACATCACACTACAGCTGTATCAACCATCACACTACATCTGTATCAACCATCACACTATAGCTTTATCAACCATCACACTATAGCTTTATCAACCATCACACTACAGCTGTATTAACCATCACACTAGAGGAATATCATATTATTGATGAAGTCAAAATGTTAATTTGGTATGATAAGAGACATCAATATCAAAGATCAGGATATACATTAACACAAGAAAGCTGGTTTATAACATTATTCATTCTCAAAAATGTAAATACATTATTCACTTAATTCATATGTGATCAATAAACCATCTACTTAGCTTAAACGTCTTCTAGTTCATGAGCTGGAAGCTTGAATGTCAGATTATTGTTTATGTTTTCCTAATTCATATAATTTTTGTTTTCCATTGAGTTTTAATTGAATGGTCTCCAGGGGTCGAACCTGGCAACAATCACTTAAAAGTGAATTGTCAGTACCAAACAAACCATGAGCTATCAACAAAACACAAGGAAATCAAAATGAATCAAAATGATAAAAAAAAAAAAAAAAATCCAAACAAAGAGGCAACATCCAAATACGAAATACGGGCACAATGTATTACGTATGGTGATTTTGAAAGGAAGCCGCTTCTCCTGGAAATATACATAAAATGAACTTAATTAAATCTAAAAACAATAAAGAATAAATCAACAAAATAATCATTCAAATGAAAGTGATTAAACAATTTGTGGATCAGCCCCTCCACTAGTACATTTCTGATTTCTCACATTCTATGGATGCTTTCCAGCTAAATATGGTTGATAGCCTTCTAGTTCCAAAGAAGAAGATGCTTAAGGCAATATGGTCCAATTACCCCTTTTTGGCTCCGCCCCTCAATCCTGGGTGGGGGTGGGGGATTAGTTACTTTATTTGCACCTATTGTTGCCCTGTCCCTCTTGCCCCTGGGAGGTCGATCAGTCTCATTTTTACAATTTTGAATCACCACCAGCCAAGGATGCTTTTAGCCAATTATTATCAAAGTACTATCAGTAGTTAATAAGAAGTAATTTGAAGAAATTGTTGACAAAGACGGACCGATAGCTGAACGATATGGTATAGCTATAGTTCACCTTAAGCTTGGCCCTTCAGACCCGGATGAGTTAATAAAAATTAAAGTTAAAATCTGATTAAACAATGAAACTTCCAAAATAAAGACAATTGTATACATAGAAAGATTTGCTAGGAGAATAAGACTAGGAGTATAGCTAATAGCTTGCATATTTAGTTTTCAATTTGCTTCATTACAAACACTATAAAAATTGTGGATACATACCTCATTGTCTGCATGGTACCGGATTGCAAGTGAAGAATAAATCTTCTGTATTGCACTAGCTTTGTTGTAGCGACTGTGCATGACCATGCCATAAATTGTGGCTATGGTAGCAAATCGACGTTCACTACTTTCTTGTTTGCTAATAGCACTGTTCAATGCAGTAAAAAAAGATGGACATTTTTTCTGCATTTCATTAATGACAATGTGGAAAATATGTTTTTCACAAAGTGAATCAACATCTTTGAAATTAAAAAGAACAGTATCATTAACACAGCTGGACAACTCCTGGTCTATCTTTTTAGATACCTCACTTTCAGTAACAAAAAGAGTTGGATCTAAAGTTGATTCATCAACACTAACAGAACTAGACATTGATTTCTTCGAATAATCATGGTCTGAAAAACAGATACGTTTTCGACTCCTTATAGACAGTGTTTTTAATTTTTCCACAGAGCTAATAATCTGATCAGCTACAGACTGTCTGAGTGCAGATGGTGGAGTTTTTGCTGGTCGCTTTAAATCCCCTTCATGGCCAGTACATAACTTAACAATATTATTTTTGTACAATAAAAAATTATCTAATAAGGTGATACAACTGTTGCAAACAAATTGTTTCTTTAAAATGCCACGACTCAAATGTTGACCAACAAATTGACATAATTTATCAAAGTAATTATTTTCTCTGGCCTTATTTCCAGATAATGGACAAAGTTTCACCTTTGGTATGTTACATACCACACAAGAAATGCTAGACATACATAAGATCCATTCAAAATTTAAAAAAAGAAAAATCCTAAATCAAAACTAGAATCTACCATATAACTACAGGACTGTATGATAACAGAAACAGAACTAGTATGAGAACTATACAAGTAATTCCAGCATGACTGTTAAAATATTGGCCTAGTGCTAAAAATAATGCACCCTGTGTAACAAACAGCAAAGCAATGAAATAATTTACTTCTGAGTAAAAGGCGTACCTGGCATTGTGATCAAAATTAGGGAGACTCCCTAAAAATGTGGAAGACTTGACAGGTATGTAAATATAAACAATCTAATGAAAATACAGTAGATCCTCTACTATTACCGGTCCGTAATAAAAGTACATCTCACTGCTTTTACAATATTTATAGCAAAAATCGTGGTAAAATACAATTATCATAGCAAAAATCGGAGTAAAAAACAATTATTAACAGCTATATTAACAGCTATATACAATTGTACCACAATACCGCACTGTACAGATTAAAAAATCTCACAATAACAGCCTACAAGAAAAAATGCTGACCAACACCAATGGGCGCAGCCATCTTGGTATGTAGTCCCTAATATGCTAATGAGATATCTAACATGGCGCTATACGTTATACTCCCGAGGTGTTTTCTCGCTTGCGGAAAGTGCCGAGGGTTCCCGATTGGTATAGCGCCATGTTAGATATCTCATTAGCATATTAGGGACTACATACCAAGATGGCTGCGCCCATTGGTGTTGGTCAGCATTTTTTCTTGTAGGCTGTTATTGTGAGATTTTTTAATCTGTACAGTGCGGTATTGTGGTACAATTGTATATAGCTGTTAATAATTGTTTTTTACTACGATTTTTGCTATGATAATTGTATTTTACCACGATTTTTGCTATAAATATTGTAAAAGCAGTGAGATGTACTTTTATTACGGACCGGTAATAGTAGAGGATCTACTGTATTTTCATTAGATTGTTTATATTTACATACCTGTCAAGTCTTCCACATTTTTAGGGAGTCTCCCTAATTTTGATCACAATGCCAGGTACGCCTTTTACTCAGAAGTAAATTATTTCATTGTAGCACTAGGCCAATATTTTAACAGTCATGCTGGAATTACTTGTATAGTTCTCATACTAGTTCTGTTTCTGTTATCATACAGTCCTGTAGTTATATGGTAGATTCTAGTTTTGATTTAGGATTTTTCTTTTTTTAAATTTTGAATGGATCTTAAGTATGTCTAGCATTTCTTGTGTGGTATGTAACATACCAAAGGTGAAACTTTGTCCATTATCTGGAAATAAGGCCAGAGAAAATAATTACTTTGATAAATTATGTCAATTTGTTGGTCAACATTTGAGTCGTGGCATTTTAGAGAAACATTTTGTTTGCAACAGTTGTATCACCTTATTAGATAATTTTTTATTGTACAAAAATAATATTGTTAAGTTATGTACTGGCCATGAAGGGGATTTAAAGCGACCAGCAAAAACTCCACCATCTGCACTCAGACAGTCTGTAGCTGATCAGATTATTAGCTCTGTGGAAAAATTAAAAACACTGTCTATAAGGAGTCGAAAACGTATCTGTTTTTCAGACCATGATTATTCGAAGAAATCAATGTCTAGTTCTGTTAGTGTTGATGAATCAACTTTAGATCCAACTCTTTTTGTTACTGAAAGTGAGGTATCTAAAAAGATAGACCAGGAGTTGTCCAGCTGTGTTAATGATACTGTTCTTTTTAATTTCAAAGATGTTGATTCACTTTGTGAAAAACGTATTTTCCACATTGTCATTAATGAAATGCAGAAAAAATGTCCATCTTTTTTTACTGCATTGAACAGTGCTATTAGCAAACAAGAAAGTAGTGAACGTCGATTTGCTACCATAGCCACAATTTATGGCATGGTCATGCACAGTCGCTACAACAAAGCTAGTGCAATACAGAAGATTTATTCTTCACTTGCAATCCGGTACCATGCAGACAATGAGGTATGTATCCACAATTTTTATAGTGTTTGTAATGAAGCAAATTGAAAACTAAATATGCAAGCTATTAGCTATACTCCTAGTCTTATTCTCCTAGCAAATCTTTCTATGTATACAATTGTCTTTATTTTGGAAGTTTCATTGTTTAATCAGATTTTAACTTTAATTTTTATTAACTCATCCGGGTCTGAAGGGCCAAGCTTAAGGTGAACTATAGCTATACCATATCGTTCAGCTATCGGTCCGTCTTTGTCAACAATTTCTTCAAATTACTTCTTATTAACTACTGATAGTACTTTGATAATAATTGGCTAAAAGCATCCTTGGCTGGTGGTGATTCAAAATTGTAAAAATGAGACTGATCGACCTCCCAGGGGCAAGAGGGACAGGGCAACAATAGGTGCAAATAAAGTAACTAATCCCCCACCCCCACCCAGGATTGAGGGGCGGAGCCAAAAAGGGGTAATTTGACCATATTGCCTTAAGCATCTTCTTCTTTGGAACTAGAAGGCTATCAACCATATTTAGCTGGAAAGCATCCATAGAATGTGAGAAATCAGAAATGTACTAGTGGAGGGGCTGATCCACAAATTGTTTAATCACTTTCATTTGAATGATTATTTTGTTGATTTATTCTTTATTGTTTTTAGATTTAATTAAGTTCATTTTATGTATATTTCCAGGAGAAGCGGCTTCCTTTCAAAATCACCATACATAATACATTGTGCCCGTATTTCGTATTTGGATGTTGCCTCTTTGTTTGGATTTTTTTTTTTTTTTATCATTTTGATTCATTTTGATTTCCTTGTGTTTTGTTGATAGCTCATGGTTTGTTTGGTACTGACAATTCACTTTTAAGTGATTGTTGCCAGGTTCGACCCCTGGAGACCATTCAATTAAAACTCAATGGAAAACAAAAATTATATGAATTAGGAAAACATAAACAATAATCTGACATTCAAGCTTCCAGCTCATGAACTAGAAGACGTTTAAGCTAAGTAGATGGTTTATTGATCACATATGAATTAAGTGAATAATGTATTTACATTTTTGAGAATGAATAATGTTATAAACCAGCTTTCTTGTGTTAATGTATATCCTGATCTTTGATATTGATGTCTCTTATCATACCAAATTAACATTTTGACTTCATCAATAATATGATATTCCTCTAGTGTGATGGTTAATACAGCTGTAGTGTGATGGTTGATAAAGCTATAGTGTGATGGTTGATAAAGCTATAGTGTGATGGTTGATACAGATGTAGTGTGATGGTTGATACAGCTGTAGTGTGATGTTAATACAAATGTAGTGTGATGGTTAATACAGCTATAGTGTGATGGCTGATACAGTTATAGTGTGATGGTTAATACAGCTGTAGTGTGATGGTTAATACAGCTGTAGTGTGATGTTAATACAGATGTAGTGTGATGGTTAATACAGATGTAGTGTGATGGTTGATACAGCTATAGTGTGATGGTTGATAAAGCTATAGTGTGATGGTTGATAAAGCTATAGTGTGATGGTTGATAAAGCTATAGTGTGATGGTTGATACAGCTATAGTGTGATGGTTGATAAAGCTATAGTGTGATGGTTGATAAAGCTATAGTGTGATGGTTGATAAAGCTATAGTGTGATGGTTGATACAGCTATAGTGTGATGGTTGATACAGCTATAGTGTGATGGTTGATACAGCTATAGTGTGATGGTTGATACAGCTGTAGTGGGATGGTTACTTCATCTATTGAGTGTTTCAAAGGCTAAGATAGTTTTCCGAATGTTAGGCTGGCTGTTATGAGTCAAATTAGTCAATTAATAATGTATGTTATTAACTTACCATACAATATAACTCTACATAATTTGTCAAATTGTATAAATTTTATCCATGTTGTAAAATTTAAATCAATTTTTCAAACAAGAAAATAGAAGAGAAATTCACTTTAATTCACATTGGGATAGAATCTTATTTCATGTAGCATCATCATACATGTATCTACGAAAGTAATGGTAAAACAGATATTTTAGGCTATTCTTCACAATATCAATAAATATCTCAGTTATTCCTGATGTGAATTATAGCTGTGAGCCATTATGTGTAGTTACTATGTTGATCACAACCACTGAAATTTGATGTTTGTGACAAATAATTATTCCCATACTTCATTAGAGTTACATGTAATTGCAAAACCTAGATTTGCACATAGAGCATTGCTTACATTTCATATAGAAAGTTAATTATCTGAAGATACATATTGCCTGAATAAGAAATTAATGATAATTACCAATAGAACAGCCTAAGAGATGTGTTGTTTGGTTGGACATTATTAAAATATTTTCCGAAACTTTCATACTATTTCATCAACTGATCTACAAGAAAAAGGCTTATGTAGAGTGTTCCAAGCATGGTTACATATGAATTCTAGATTAATTTTTTAGAGATGCACATTGTCAACAGCATTCACTAGTGACTGACGGCAGTTTGAACAGCATTCTTCAAGTGGGCCATCAAACACTGTTGTTTGGAAACCAAAGTATTTGACAAGTTCAAGTCGCAAACATCCATCATTAACATTGCAAAACTTTGCCATTTCTGGAGAGAGCCCTTTTATTTTTAGCTATGTCACTTTTGTTGTAATGCAAAATAGCTGTAGATTTTTGTCCTGTCCTCCCAGCCCTTCCTATCTCCTGTAAGTATTTTTCTAATGTTGTTGGAGGCCTAGCATGAATTATCCGAGTAATACCTGGGGCATTTAAACCCATACCTAAAGCAACTGTGGCCAGAACAAGACGCACATGTGGATTGTCTTTCCGAAGTTCTTGTAAGATGTGTTTTTTCATATTTTGTGTATAGTCTGTATGGTACTGTGCGAAAATTCTAGCTTCTGGTGTCTTGTCAGAGGTTGGATGATACTGAAGTTCTTTCAAAGTATAATTTAGATACTGATAATAATAGCCAAGTGCATCTAAACTTTCTACATACAAAACAGTAACAGGGAAGTCTCGAAGCTTGATTTTCAGTTCCTGTGCCAAAGGGTCGATTAGTTCATCGTATTTGTCGGTCTTGTTAGAGTTTGGAAGGCGGGGTTTTTTGTCTATATAAATGTTTGGTCTGTCAGGATTCACAGTCACAATCACATGGTTTTTGTACTGGAGTGTCTTTGAGAGATCAAGAATAGAAGATGGGGAAGATGTAGCAGTAACAGCAAGATGTGCACAGTTGTCAAAGAGGCAGGTCAAATCTCCTAACTTCTTAAACTTTGGTCTGAACTCTTCTCCCCTGTAAATGTATGCAATCAATCTAGATTAAATATATATTTTTTGTGGAACAGAGATATATATTTTACAAAAACTGAAATATAAACAATACATTTATTTGATATTGTCAAATGAAAATAATTTCTTAAGCAATTTGGAATTAACATTAAGAATCATGTAAATACATATTCTACTGAGAATGAGGGTTTCAACCTTACTCATACCCATATGTTTCTTTGAAAAAGGTTTGAAATAATTACTGATTAAGATTACAGTTGAATTCAGTTTTTTTGAAAAACAGAACAAATGGACCAGAAAGAATGACTCTCAGGACTCGAACCTGATGACCAATGGCATGGTCAAACCAAAACAGTCATGGTTTCAAAATTGATACAATTGTTCTATTTTAAAGACAATCTACACAGAAAATATGTCCAAGACATAAAAAGTTACAAATTAACAACATCAGGAATGGTCAATGGAATATGTGATTCTGGCAAAAATTGGTTATTACTGTGAAATTGAAAGGTCAAATCTAACGAACCTCACAAATTGTTTGTTTGAAGAATACATATGTTTTATTTTGAAAGCCTTGACAACTGTGTCATAATGATTTAGTAAATTGTTCATATTTTTTTAATGGAAGAATGATATTCGATGTACTACTTGATGGTGAGTGTGATTGCATTAGTATTATATATGTATCATTGTTTTACAGATAAATACCATAAGCATGTATCGTAGTAAACTTTTTAGTAAACTTAGTAATCTATTAATACGCAACCTATAGAAGTCAAAGACCAAAATGCAAATAAAAGACAAAAGCTTTTCTTATATATGGGGATAGTGATCATGATGCATTGTATATATCATAAACATTTATGTTATGTCAAATTATGCATTGGATTTTATGCCAATTTAGCAAAAAAAAGTAATCTTCACTTCATTAATATCAATCTTTTGATAAAACTAATATCACACTGCAAAATTATATAGTGTTGTTTTTTCAGAAATCTCTTTGTCTCCATACAAATCCACAAAAGTACATAGACATAGATCTCTTGAGTTGAGTTGAATGGTTTGGAAGTTATAGCCTGGAAAAACATATTCAGCAGACGGAGCTAAATTTAATATTCCCTGCAAACGTGGGGATAATTATATGGGGTAAAATCGGGGGGGTTGGGGGGAGATACAGGTCATGTACCTATGAAACTGATGTGTTCCAATAGATTAAACTGTGCAAGGTCTTATTACTTTTAATAAATTACATATCAAAACAGTATTTATCTATTCATGGGGGAATTCAAAATCAAATGTTTCTATTTTTGCCCTTTTCAAGTAACAAATCGATACTGAAACTGGCATATACAAGATAATTATATAAGCTAGTTTATGTAGTCTACCAAAGTTGTGGTTTCTTTATCCTGACCTGGTAGATAGATTTGTGCACTGGAGCTGTTTGATAAGACTTTTCACAGTGACATCACTTTGTTTCTAACAATAGAATTAGGACATGCTGATTGAAGGTCTGAAGGGCTTGGGATAAGTAATGTTATAGGGAGAAAAAGGTACAGGTGAATCAATAACTGTAGCAGAGCTAATGAAATTAAACAAGTACTATTTTACTGCCTCCGCTGGGTATTGAACCCGGGACAACTGCCTTACTAGTCTGACGCTCAACCAATCCAGCCTAAGAGAAGTTCTTTCTAGCCGAGAGGTATATTTGCAGCTAGTATTCACTAGGGTTACAAAACTTCTAGCTGTTCTAATCACAACATTAATATCACGAATAAATCGCCGGAAAGGGAATGACCTTAGCTTCATTTTGGTATAAGATATATGAACTTTGTTATTTTTTATGGAAATCAATAATATAGTATAAATTAAAGTTATGTTTACATATTATCAGTAGACCTCCAGTTGGCAAGGCTTAACTAATATCAGTGATAGATCTACATGTGCATTCCGAATCCTGTACTCATAAAAAGTTGAAAGGACCCATAGAATTTCTAGAAATAGTTAATTTTACATTGTATGACTCACTGACTTGGGAAAACATTTGGAAAATGACCCTTGAAAACAATTTGATGATCACAGTGTTCGTCTAATAATGACACCTACCATTCTGAGACCATGTGGACTTCATCTATAACTACACAACATATCTTGGTTTGATATAGGGCTGATCTGAAGACAGAGTACATCTTCTTGCAGAGGGCAGATTCTGGGTGGGCATATATTATATTATATTTCCCGTCGGATATGTCTTTGAATGAGACGTCTTTTATTGTCCATGCTGATTCGTCTTCGTCCTCGGAACTGTCATAGTCAAACCCAGCCTTCGTCATAAATGTCTTGCCAACGGATCCAAAGATATAACACGCTGATATCCCCCTTTCCCTTAACCCCATCACTTGGTCCTCCATGATACTGTTTAAGGGGCAAATGACTAATACTATGCATGGTGTAGAGGAGTCATATTTTCGCTGGAACAACCATGGCAATAACTGAAAAATAATACTTTTTCCGTAACCAGTAGGAAGCACACTTATAACATCACGTCCCTCATAGAGATTCTGGAGCGTCTGTACCTGTTTTTCCTTCAACTCGTGCTTGAAATTAAGATGCGTTTTTGCAAACTCTATACAAGTAAAAAAGTCAGCCATATTGGAAAATGAAAACCGGCGACTAACTTGTTGATCCTTCCACCGGAAGGCCTTTTTGGACAAAATTTGGCTGTATTACTCCGCCTAATACTCCCGAGGTGTTTTCTCGCTTGCGGAAAGTGCCGAGGGTTCCCGATTGGTGTGACGGGTTTTCCTTATCGAAGGCGTGATTACAAATCTTACCTGGTCACACCTGTATTAGTTTACTCGACGCGCACGCTGTGAAATAGGTTCCCACAAACTGTGTCGTTTGCTGTTTATCATGTACATGTGTTTACAGCTTTATCGCGTGATATGAGAACCTTATCTGGTATAAAGTATTATATATCTAATGACTTTCATGAACATTTGTGCTTGTAATTCTATCAAGGTTTACATAAACGCATTGCAACCCTCTATGATCAAATTGCCTCACGGTCATCAAAGGGTATCTCAACGTTATTTATTTTTTTTATTCAGGTTTTTATCAATAGTCACTTACATCAATCACATCACATGCATAACTACACGTCATACATTGTACTTGTATCTAAAATTAATGCATATAATATAAAATATTACAGTGCATATGAAAACAAAAAAGTACATACTTGTTGACACTGTGTTAACAATACGTTGGAATACGATAATTCACTAATTTATTAACTGATTAATAAAGATCCATTTGTTTTGAATAATTCTTGTTTTCTAAGGCAGTATCTATATAACCCAATGTCCTCTATTTTTTTATATTAAGAAATATATTTCTTGCATTCAGAAATAGTTAGTTTTATTTTTTAATTTACACAAAAATATAAAGTATTTCATAAGAAGCATTAAAAAATTGATTTCATATCTGTGTTCTATTTCTACTACACCAAGAACAAAGACTTCTGGATTTCTAGGTAAAGACAATTGGTGTTTGTTTTCTAATAATTCTATTAACCAAAACCAAAGTGTTTTAACAACATTACATTCCCAAAATAGGTGTATAATCGTTTCTCTTTCATTTTTACAGAATGTGCATCTTTCGGTTTCTGCAAGTTTCCATTTCATTAACTTTGTATTTGTATACAATATCCTTTGTAATATTTTATACTGAAAAGTTAGAAGTTTTGTATCATCAGTTATCTCCCTTGATATTAAATAAATTAACTCCCAAGTGTCTTCACTAATGTCAGTATTAAAGTTTTCTTGCCATTTTCTTTGACTATTTGTAGGTTTCTCAGAAACAGATTTAATAAAAATTTGATAGAAGTACTCTGTGACTTTGTCATGTGTATTAAGGTAATCAATTAACCTATATTGAACATTTACCATAGGTACTTGAACATTTACATTCTGCAGAATTACTTTCCAGTTCCTTGGAATGGCATTAATCACACCATAGTAATCTATCAAGCTGTAAATACTTCACTCCAAAAAGTATTAAACATTTTTGATATCTCAGTTAATCCTAACCTTGTCATTTTAAAAATATTTACACCTCCAACCAATTCTAGTTTATCTATAAGTAATGTTTTCCAAGCTGAGTGGTTTGAGGTATCAAATTTTTTTTTGATCCAAGACATCTTAAGTGAGTGACAAAAAGTCAAAATATGTGGAAAATGCAACACCCCATTTTTATAATCACTGTACATAATATTTCTCTTTATTGTATCTGGTTTTCCCTCCCATAGAAAGGTAAAGAAACATTTTTGTAATTCCTTAATTATATGTAAAGGAGGGTCAGCAAGGACAGTTAATGTCTGAATAAAAATAGGTAAGGCTAATGTTTTTATAATAATAATTTTTCCTATGTAGGATAAATTTCTAAATGACCAATCTTTTAGTAATTTTTGCACTGCTCTCAATTTTTCATAGTAATTATCTTCAAAAATGTTCTCTTTTTGGAAATTGTAAGTAATTCCCAAAAGTTTAAAAATACTTTGATGGTTCCATAACAAATTTCTTTCAGGTAGAAGTTCCAACCCACAACCCCGTCTAGCCCCAATCCATATTGCCTGGGTTTTGTCAAAATTTATTTTAAGTCCTGATACTTTTCCAAAATCTTCCAAAATATTAAGTGTGGTTTCTAGGGACAATGGGTTATCACTTAAAGTAAAGGATGTATCATCTGCAAACTGATTGATTAAATATTCTGAGTTATTTATAGTAATTCCATTTATATTTGGATTAATTTTTAAGGCTGAACTTAATATTTCTACACATAGTATAAATATATATGGACTCAAAGGGTCACCCTGTCTCACACCGCGCTAAACTTCAAAGAATTCTGAACAATGACCATTGTTCATAATACAACAATTAGTATTTTTGTAAAAAGTTCTGATCCATTGAATAAATGACGGCCCGAAACCATAAAAATGTAGAGAATCAAATATAAAATCAAAACTTAAAGAGTCAAAGGCCTTTTCAAAGTCAATTAATAGAAGAAGTCCAGGAATATGATTTTTTTTCAGTGTTTTCTAATATGTCCGCAATTAATCTTGTACATTCTCCAATATATCTGCCTTTTCTAAAACCTTTCGGAGTATCACTAATAAGACTATCTAAAAAATTTTTCAACCTATTAGAAATAACAGATGATGCTATTTTATAATCAACATTCAAAAAGTTTTTCATATATAATTTTGATTTTCCTTCTTTGGGTATACATGTAATCATGCCACGACGCTGTGAGACAGAAAATTGACCATTTGTGTGTGCTTGGTTTAGAGAACGTATCAAAAATTTATCTATATCAGACCAGAAAAATTTATAGAATTCTACAGTGTATCCATCGATACCTGGTGATTTGTCATTTTTCATATTTTTAACAGAAAAGAGACATTCTTGATATTTCAATTTACCTTCTAATTGATCACTTTGTGCAGCAGACAGTTTTCTATTAAATGGGTTTGTATCATCAAAAAAGTTATGTTCATTATTTTCTAAAATTTTCCTGCTATACAGTTTTTCATAATAAAGTTTTTGCTCTGAAATTATTTCATGTATATTTGTGATCTCTTGTCCATTCTCTTTGACAAGTTTTGGTATAAGTTTCTCTTGGAAATGTTTCTTCTCTAAATTACAGAAGTATTTTGTACTTTTTCACCTTCCACCTTCCATCTTGATTTTGCTCTTAAGAGAATACCATTAATTTTTCTTTCCCTAAGTAGTTTTAATTCATTTTCAACCATCTGAATGAGCTCTGGGTTCCTATGTTCTGCTTTTTGTAATTTTTCTAACCTAACTTCTAACTGTTTTTCTTCCCTGTCTTTTTCTCTCTTTTTCTGTGCTGTATAAGCAATAGTCTTTCCCCTAATAGTAAATTTTAAGGTTTCCCACACTAAAGAGTCACTAATAGTAAAAGTTAACAGATCTTTATTCTCTACTTCAGGGTTTTCTGCATATTGACCTGTTATATTATTTATACACTCTTTAACTAAATTTACATAATTAGGATCTCTTAGCAAACTGTTATTAAATTTCCATGTTACCTTTCCCCTTTTTTGTTTAATAAATTCTAAAACTACTAAAATTGGACTGTGATCTGATCTGTAGCTCAAACCTATGTCACTATTTATTACATAAGACATTAAATCAGAGGAGATCAAGAAATAATCTAATCTTGCCTGTTTTCGATTTGGACCATGCCAAGTATAAAAGTTAACATCCTGATGTTGTTCTCTCCAGATATCTACAAGATCAAAAGATTCCATAATATCTATAATTTTACCCTGGTTTATCATATTATTTCTATTTATATAATTTTTAGTATCATTAACATAATCCTGTGGTGCATTCCAGTCACCACCTATAATAAAAGATGTATTTTCACAAAGCTCAAGATGGTGAGATAGTTGATGATAGAAGTTGATATCTGTATTATTTGGTCCATAAACTGCAACCAAAGTTAAGTTTTTATCACATGAAGTAAGGTTAATATTTACAATTAAGAAATTACCATTTTTGTCTTCTTTCTTAGATAACAATGAAAAACCAAAAGAATTTTTAAACAAGATTGCAACCCCCCTACTATTTGACTCATATGAACTATACCAGGCTTCATAGCCCCATTCCATTTTCCATAAGTTTTCAACCTTTTGAATAGAATGAGTATCTATAAGAAAAGTAATATCATATTTTTTTCTACATCTTTCAAACAGGTCTCTGCGCTTTGATGGATCTGAGGACAATCCCCTACAATTTATACTTCCAATTCTAAGACCTTCAGTCATAGTTTAATACATTATGGTGTATTCGAAAGATTCTACATTTGATGCAGTTAAAAGTAACAATAAAATTGAGCATGTGCCTATATATCCATTTTTGGTAGAAATTAAGTGTATGTATCCATGTGACGTAACATCATAATATGAGACTATGTTTTCCAAAAACAAAACAAAAAAGATCCCCTCCCCCCATCCTTCCCTTTCTAATCTTCAATGAGCATAAAAGGCTCATCTCACTCTCCCAGCTACAAATCATTTCAAATATTAAAAGAA